GGTTTGCAACAAGCAGATCGCCCTCCATGAAAAGCCGTTTTACAACACTGTGTGCAATAACAGACAGTTAATGGAGGCCTGGACCTCGTGGAATACTTCACTCTTTATGTAGTCATCTGAAAACCAGGGTACATTTATGGATTTTTATTTTGAAGCTCGTTTTGTTTCATCGCTGCATCAGTGGAGAACACAAGGGCAGTGCATTGACCTTTATGGACAGAGTTCACTGCGCTGAAGGCTCTGCAAGCTTCGCCCCACTCCATGTTGGAATACAGAGCCAGGCTGTTGCAAGTCCTGCTGCTGCTGCTGCTGCTGCTGCTGCTGCTGCTGCTGCTGCTGCTGCTGCTGCTGCTGCATGCCCTTATGTACTGGCTCTCTTCCCAGCATGCTTCATAGAAGGGAGTTATTAGGAGGAGGGGGTGAATAGAGATGAGAGGAGGCAGAGAAAGGTTGAGATTGTGGGTAAAAACAAGCGGTCAGAGGAGGTGGATGAAAGAAAGAGGTGTTGGAGGAGGAACTGAGTGGATGAGGACGAGTAAACTGAGAGCAGATTCTTTAAAACATGCTAGTTTCTGAGACGATGGCTGACTGAACAGTGTTGATATGTTGGGCAGCACAACCACCACTTTTTTTTTTTTTTTTTTTTTTTTTTTTTTTTTTCTTCTTCAGGTTTGTTGCACATTTGCAAATATCCTAAACATGAAATGAGTAAATTCTTTCAACGTTACATTTTTCTGTCCTCTGTTGTTGTTTTACATTATCTCTTTTCAGTGGTGCTAAGCTATTCCTAGTGAAACACTCCAACCCACGCACCGCCAGGGAGGGAGGGAAGGAGTGAATGGATGGATGGAGTGAGGAAAGATAGTGTTTGTGCCATGACGGAGGGGGTCACCGCCTGTCAGGGAGCTTTTGTGTCTTTAAAACTCATGTGCTGTTGCCAGTGAAAGTCAGTCATGCATACAACATGGAGACAGACTTACAGTGTACCGTAAACATGACCACAGATGAACATCTATGCTTTAGTGCTTAAGCTGTCCCCTAATGCACACACTCTGTTTTCTATTCTGGTTAATTAATGTTCCACTCATTATTGATTGGCTGAATTCTGGGTCTGCATTTTTATTTAATAAAAATGTCGGAGCAGTAAAACTGATTTGTACAGTAATTGTTGCAATGCATTGCAAAATTATTGATGTTGAAATTTTTTGAGTTCTGCCACATTGCACTTATAATGCGACTAAACACTGTTAGTATGGTGACACATGGTGGTGGCAGCATCATGGTGTGGGATTGTTTTTTTTTTCTCTGAATGGTGTTTGGAGGATGAATGGAGCTAAATACAGATCCTGGAAGAAAACTTGAGAGGCTGCAGAGCTAGGGGCGTTTATTGCATCGTTTATCATTGTCGTAAAAATGCCTAAAAATGCCATCATGAGACTTTTGATTAACTCTCACAGCACTTAATTCCAATTAACGATGTTTGAAAACTGTTTAAATGTAATTATCCATTTTTTCTCATTTGTTCCATGAGTAATATATTTCAGTAAACTCAGAAATATGATTAAATGCAGCTACTACATGCAGTTTAATGATAAAAAGCAAACTTCTTTATATGGCTGGTGGCCTGAAGAAGCCTGTTTCACGTTCTTGTCAAGATCAGTGTTTGTAGGGCTATAGTTTTCTTTTAGCTTCATAGTTGTCCACTGCTGTTTGTTGGTCTATCACTTAAATTAATAATAAATAAAATGCCTCGCATTTTGTGGCTTTATGTAAAGAAAAGAAATGGGGTCCTGTTTTACAAAAATTGCCTGTGTTTACTTTAGCAACCAAAAGCCTTAACAGAAACTTATGTCACTGACAGTAGCCATGTCCATATGCTTCGCAATCTACAAGTTGTCATCCCTGTAAGTGAAGCACAACATTACAGAGTCGCCAAACTCTAAAAGCTTGCATCGCTCAGGGAAGGATTACTCATACATTTAGGTTTTATAACACTCGGCGCTTAAAATAACTGCATTTTCAACCAGACCATTACTGCAGTTTAGATAAATGAATAGAAAAATATTGACATTTTGTTTGCTGATACATTAAATTGTTCATCCAATGAACAATTTCAGAAAAATACCAAGACATAGTGTTTTTCAGAGATTTATTCTCTTAAATCAGCCACACAGAGTTGCAGCTTTGGCCACAAAAGAGGAATTCATTTATCTGAACAAGGTTATTACTGTTCAAAGTAGTGTAACAAAAGCATGTGTAAAATGATTTATGATGTAAAGGTGTTAGTGATTCCTAGTACACACTGCTAAGAGGGCGTCAGCAGGACAAATTCATGCATGTGTGTCACAAACACAGCAAGGCGAATGACCGAGATCAGCAGGGAGACGGGAGAAGCAGGAAGACAGAGGGAAAACAGCGGGGATTTACATGCAGCCACACTGGCAGGTTCACCAGAAAATGGTGCAGGCAGACAGCGTGTTGGACAGACAGACTGCCAGATGAGCTGGGGGACAGAAGACGGGGTGTAAATTCATCCATGACATGGTTGTGGTGCTTAATTTTTCTTTTCTGTGCTCTTTCTGTGTTAGTTTTATTACATCTAATACCATACACTTCTTTACAGATTCACCTGGTATAATGAAGAGAAAGAAATGGTACTTCAGCTCCATGCAGAGCATTAAAGTGTTAACTTCAATGTGTTAAATCCACACTTTTATCCATGCGCTCACATATTCCCGGTTTTTATTGAATCATTACACTTGCCGCCTAGAAAGCCAGTGGAAGTTTGGCTATTTGTCAGCGGGGGCTTCTTAATTACGACATCTGAGGAAGCGGGTCGGAAAAGCCCCTGGAGGGTCGAGACACACTGATGTGAAGCCAAGCTGTCAGGGCAGCAGAGCGCCCAGAACTTTCCAGCAGAGAGGAGGACCGGCCTATTTAGGTTATTGTGATTCAGGATATAGTTCAGCTCCGACCCTAACCCCAGAACATGCTGTTCTTATATTTTTCCCCTTCACTTATATTTTACAACCGATCGTTTATTTTCTACGCTCTCCTTCTCTGCCGTCTTGTTGAGGTTTCTCAGTTTTTGGCGCAGCCGCTCTGACTGCTACAGTATCAGCTGGAGGTATTGTTGTTGCTCCAGGAGATGAGTCTTGTCCTGATGGTGATCTCATTTCTGTTTGCTCTGAAATGTAACAGAAGGATCCAAGAGTCTTGGGCAAAAGTGAAGAAAAAAAAATACAATAAATTCTATCTGCAATTAGCAGATGACTGATACCACAAATTAAAGCTGCTTTTTTTGTAACTGTAACCTGAAAATGAATCATAAGTGAGTTAAAATTAACAGCACGCACTGCTGGGGTATGTTTTCATTTTGAGGCGGTGTATTATTCTGACTCCGGATCCAAGTATTTGGGCCCTGAATTCTGTATTGGCTCTATCTGAGTTCATTAAGCTTCACAAAGTGTCATTTTTGTTTAGAGGCAAAAATCCAGTCCAATGACAGACTTAAGAGTGGCGTTAATGAGAAATGTCTTTGCAGTTACAATCAGTAATTAGCAGAACCTGACACAAAAAATATGCTTTAAACATATTAGCAATATTTATATAGTTTATATAGTCAATATTAAAAAAAGTATTTTTCCAAATTATCCACATTCTGAAAATATCAAATTCTATATATCCTTAATAACTTTGTGGCAATGAAACTAAAGTGTCATTGCTACAAAGTTTCATCTGCTGGAAAAACTAAAGTTTCATTTCTAATACAGCAGCTGTAGTCAGGTGCAAGTTTTTCAAGAGAGTTGTTGAAATAGAAAGTTTAATTTCTTTAATTTTATCTATTTATTTATGTCACCATAGCAACATTTAACTATGTTTTCACATCTCACATGTTTTTCTGCATCCCTACTTTACAGAAAGAGATTATTTTCTTTCATAAACAGACTAATTTTAGTCAGTGTCACACTTGATGAATGTAATATTCTGACTCATTTCATACATTTTGTAGTCGCATCAATAGTATTATAAAATAATGAGATCTTTACAGCAGTGTGATGCTGGACCACTCCCAGCGACGAAGGCCTCATTCTGTAAACAGAACACATTCACACATCTGTGATCCATTTCTTCCTCTGTCCCTCTGTCAGATGGGTCCATATGGCATCTCTCGCGTCCCCTGCTACCTCTATCAAAGTCACATCTCTGCTGTCAGCTCCTGTTTTATGTGTGATGGTATGCTGCATTCTGAAAAGCAGGCTACATTTTGTATGAAGCATGCACTTCAATTATACATCCGATGGTACCATTATAGCTGTGTAGTGATGTCATTGCTTACTGTTTAATGGTGGACTACCATGTTTACAGCCCACTGCTGACATTATTGCATATATATGAGTGTACTCTGTTAAACCTGTTTAAATAATCTGCTAAATTTAGAAAAGACAAGTTCTGATTGGTGCTTTTGATAAAATGGGTTTGACGGAGGTGATGGGTCACAGTATGGAAAAACAAGCAGAAGCAGAGCTGACTGTTTAGACAGAAGCATATATGTGGAGATGATGAGCAAAGCCTACAATCCATCTTTGGATCTGACTTTCCGCAGAAAAATATGTAATTATAATGGGAAAATTATGTAAGCCCATTCCTTAGTTTGTTCACAAAAAGCACACAATGTGTTTTAAAGAATCTGTGATGATTGTAGGATAATTTAATTCATGTTTGACAGTCTATAAGTAGAAAAGTATTAAATGCTTCCCCGTTTTGTTTTTGCAAAAATCAAACATTTTCCTGTGTTTGGATCTTCATGTTTTAGTGTTGATTCATGTAAACAACTACACAGTAGAGCTTCAGGGATCCTGTATTGTAGCTGTGTAGCTAAACATACAAGTGATGCGAACAATTTTCAGGTTTCTCTGCTGAATTTGGGGATGTCATTAAAATAACATGTACAAATATAGATTTTTAAGTGTTCCCTTTTATGTTTTCTTGTCTTGCAGAGTGAAAACTGTGGGACCTGTGAACGACCAGATCGGGAACATCTCATTATCAAGTGGGGGAATTTTCCCAGCTCCCCTTCTTTCAACTTTCAAACTCCTGTTGTACATTTCACTTTATTTTTTTCTCTTTCCCCTCTTTTTTCATGGCCTGGATGAAGGATTCAGAGCTTTTTCTTTATTTTCTTCTTTTTCTTTTCCAACGAGACCAAAAGCAGATGCCAAACTGACTGTGTCAAAAAAAAGAAGCAAAAAAACAATATTTAATGAAACTACATTTCTCTACATAATCATACAGTATTTTGTCAAACCAGCCTCAGAACCTGATTTATTTGCCAATGTGACCCTTTAAGTCCACCATCATATTAACAACTTATTTACTCCTGACTACTTAATCTTTCAGTGTTTGCTGCTCTTAATGCGAAAACTGCGTGATTTTCCTGCCAAGACCATAATCAGTGCATTATTGGTTCAAAGTGCTTTATAAACAGTTTGCGGAGTGACAGAGGAAGCATGTGGTGAGAAGTGATAATTCTCTGATGGCGTCTGAAGGTTTTATTTTAAATCGGAGCGCCGTTTTGACTGACGGGTAACACAAGCCACGTTTGACCAGATAAATCCAAGCCCGCCATCATCACCGCCGCCGCTGCTATCTCAAAGGCTTAGACGTATACTGTCCTCTCAGTCTGCGCTGTGAAACACTGTTGACACTTTGCCTATCTCCTGCTTCCAGTTGCTTACATTAGAAAGGCTTCTCAGTCATTGTCGTCTCGTTTCTTCCATTTGTTGAGCTTGATTACTGACGTGAAATCCCCCTTTATCAAGTCCCAGTGAGCTCTTCAGCATTCTTCTTTTTACTCCTGAAAAAACATGCAATTTAAAACCTTTCACTGTACTCATGTTTGTACGTGAAAGAAAAAAAAAATTATAAGAAGGAAAAATAAAAAAGATCATAACCTGAAGCCATACCGAACACCAGCCATACAAATTAACTTTTACATTTGCAAAGCTTCTCACAGTGTTTTAGAGTTTTGTTTTCTAACAAAGTGATCTTCGTCATATTGGTGCACACACACATTCAGGGAACCCATGAGGCAACTGCTCATGAAAAACCCCCAAATTCTTATGTTTGGAGGAAAGAGGATCTTGTAAGTTTGTAGTTTTTCTAACTGCTTTTTCCAGAATTGTGCAGTCGGATCGTCCGCGGCGTCAAATTGTGGCAGCCACAGCGACCACGCCGAGTTCCCCGTCTGCGTCCTGTTTTCCTCTGTGTTGACGGATGAATCCAGACAGTTTCATGTCTGTTCTGTGGGCAGAACCTCGCTGCCCTGCTAGAACCGGGCCCAAGCCCTCCTTTGTTCTCTTCTGTTGGGCCAAGCTAAACTCAGAGCAGAGACACTCGAGCAAGGGTACCGATCGCACATAAATCTGCGGCTTTTTTGTTTGTTTGTTTTTTAAAAGAAAAGTCTTCAGTTTTTAAGTTCTTGCCAGCTTCCATTGACATTCCAGGTTAATGGACTGACCATTTCATTCCAGTAGCTGCTGGAAACACTTTTTTTCTTAAGTCCTGATGCTGCTCAATGCTGTTCATCTGCAGTAAATTCATTGAACATCATAGCTCAGAGTTTTTAAATCCCAGTATTTAGACCAAACTCATAAGCATACAGACCTTTACTGATTCATCCAAGTTACTTAGTGGAGCTACTTATGGGAATTGATGGTGTCCTGTAGAAGATGTACAAACTGAAGAAGCTTGTGCCAAATTCAAACTGATTTTCTTTCAGCTTGTTAAACAAAGAACTCTGAAGCTGCCATCACTGTTGTTTACAGACACATAGCCTGGAATAAAATTATTTTCTTTCCATGTCAGATTATTATTATTATTATTATTATTATTATTTATTTACAACGGACAACAGAAGTGCCAAACTCCCAGAAGAATAGATCCAACATCGGTTCAAGCGATCTGAAGTTTACATACAGCGCTAAATGTTTACAATCCACCGTTTCCATAGCAATTTGTTACGTGCCAAGCCGAGCGTTCCCGTTGGTCATTTTGTTAAGAGTTTACAGTTTTCCTCAAACTCTTTTCTTTTGTTTACAGTAAATGTGTAAATACTGCCATTTTGAAAAGTTTTGAGTTTTGGCCAAGGGGAAAAAATGCCACTCTGTCAGCTGACAGACCTCTACTAATTATTCAGAACCCAGTGCCATTCAACAGTCATATTGTGAAGTTAATGTTGGCTGGTTTATTAAACTGTTTTACAGGCAGTTTGAACAGGGCCTAAAATCTCTGAAAACCTCAATGTTTACACAAGCTGCTTTTGGGAGGGATTTCTATCCAGAGAAATGTTTACATTCAGATGAACGAGTGAAATGCCAAACACATTCATAAAACAGCTGCTGAACCGCATCTGAACTAAAAACTGAAGTTAGAACATTTTCATCACAAAGGTTTTTATATTTCAGCCAGACGCCATCTTGGAGTTGAACTCTGACAGTTGATTTCCTTTTCTAAATCCCGGCTGAAGAACTTTACCCCAGAACAATGAAGCCCACGCTTTCAAAGAGGATGATTTCCCTTTTTGTCATGCTGTTGCTTTTCTCCTGCCTCCCCGTCTCCTCCCTGACCGTTACCGTGGAGCGGCGAGATGCCGACGGCAACGCCAGAACGCTTGACGGCAGCAGTGGCACCTCTGCTGGAAAAACGGGCAGCGCCTTGTTCCTCCTGACCGGCTACAAGTCAAACCCCCGTGGCGGATCCAAAGTGCCACCGAAAGCGGCTGAGATGAAGGACGATGACGATCCGGCGGCGATGGCTGAGCTCCCCCCGAAGCCTCTTCCACAGAGGATGTTTCCACGGAACACGACGGAAAACCCACTGAAGCCTCCGCTCAGCTGGGCCCAGGTGGCCCCGCCGCTGGTGGATAATGGAGAAGTTTGCAGGTATGAATGTCCTGTGATGCAGTTATTTTCGCTAAAGTCAAATTGTACTTGTGAAAGTAAATTATAGCAATCCAAAAAGTATTCTGCCAAGCAAATGTAAAAGGAAAAAAAAAAAGCACTACAAAGGTAGTAAAATAACTACAGAATAAAAGTTGTTCCACATTTTGAGGCTTGTATACCTGTAATTGAAAAGTCAATTGGTATCAAAATAAACAAAAAAAAAAACTATAATCCCTACTTCTATTAAAATAACATTATACTTTACAGTTATGTTAATAATGTCACATTTGAGTCTTATTATTTCAATTCTGATACATAAAATTAGGCAGAATTGTAGAATAAACACTTGCTGAAGTTAGCAGTAGTTTCCAGTTAGCCCCAGCTTCAGTCCGCTGCTTTACATTCATGCTTCCTGTTACGTGGTAACAGTTAAAAATGAAATTGCAGTGTTACTTTAATAAAAGGGATGGGTGATGCTCCTTTGGAATCTACATGACAAAAGTTTTTCACAATTGGAAATGCATCCAAACATCTTTTGTAAGCATGAAACAATTGGTTTAGGAATCTTTTAGCCAGCTGGCCAACAGTGCACAGGTGTAGGTGGACTAGCACTATGTTACTTAATGCTCCACAAAAGCCAAACTAAGCTCTGGTCACTGTGACTCTTTGCCTGGTATTTATTTAAAATGACTTTAAAGTTTAAGCTGTCTATTAAACTATGTTTTTTAAAAAACCTTGAAGTACCTTGGTTCCCTAGATTCACCTGTTAAGACATGTAACAAACCTCTAAACATGGTAATCTCCAGATATTAGAAAAAGTTCCACATGAATGGAAATACAGCCAGAGAGACTAAAAGCATGTTAGAAACAGACAACGGATAAAAAGCTGGGCTTTTTGCATGAAACATGTTCATGTTGTCCAGCCAAATCTGCAGGTTGAGCTCATCCCTGTTTACCAAGGTCAAAAAGGGAAAATAAAATACAATGAGAAAAATTGACGGGAGTAAGAAAAACAAACGGAGGCTGAAAATTAAAATCTGAAAAGTGCATTTATTACTTTGGGTTAAGTTTAAGAAAAAGGATTATAATGTATTGCCTTTTGCAGAAGTGAGGCTTCTGTTTGAGTGACTGCAGCTTCCACCGGCTCGTTTAATGTGTTGATCTTACTGAATGCCATAAAAGCAAGGAACATCATGATTCTCCTGCAGCTCTCATCTTGATCCCACCAAAGCTCATGTTCTGCACTGAGAGGCGTCTTGCTGTTGCTAGGCAACAGATAATCAGCTCTAAATCAGTTGTCTGTTGGCAAGCCACACACTGCGACCACATTCAGGCAGCCAGAAGCAGAACAAGCAGGGAAATATAAGACAAGATCCAAAACGTACATAAGCTTTCAACTTTCTGTCTGTTTTAATTTCTTATTCATGACTTCTGTTAATTTCTATCTTGCCTTTTGTACTAGTGTTGGTTTTTATTTTATTTTTATACACTCCAGATTTTAAGACTTAGTGGAACGTGTCTCTGTGATGAAACACATTCATCACAGAAGTTCAGATTTATGTTTTATGCTTTGCTCCCCAGGGGTTACTATGACGTCATGGGGCACTTCGACAACACGTTCAACTGCTCCAAGGGCACGTATCGCTACTGCTGTGGTACCTGCCAATACCGGTTCTGCTGCGAGCACCGGAGGAACCGACTGGACCAGGAGTCCTGCAAAAACTACATTTCCCCTGTGTGGGCTGACCCGCAGGCCCCCGTCAGCGTGCCTGCTGCCAACAAGCCCGACCCCGACTTCGAGACGCTGCAGCAGCAGAGCAGCAGGTCAGGGTTGAAAAAAATCACATGATGCATATAAATAATTAGTTTAGATCAATGTACACCAAATGTATTACCAAATCGTCAACCTTAATGAGAACCAAATATAAATATAATTTCATATTAGGATTTCAACTTTAGGGAATATCATTGTAAAGTTTTGGTAATGGGTGAGAAAGTAAATAATTTGAGTCCCAAGGAGTGGACAGGCCTGAAGCTTTGTTCACACAGCAGGTCTTGATGCTCAATTTTGATATTTCTGCTGAAATCTGTTCTTTTTTTTTTTTTGCATGGTCCTACACACCGACTAAAACCCAACCACAATGACACTTAAGTGTGAACCATTTACAAACCTAAATCGACAGGAAAAGATCGTTGACATCACACTACAGCACACTCTTCATGGGAGTAATAAAGGATAGAAATGTGTTTGGATTGTTCAGCAATGAGAACCGACAGTTTTGTCTCAAGATCAGAGTCTGATCTTGAGTCTGTTTTGGATGTGCAGTCAGAGCCAGGACTGGTATTATAATCAGATGTGTTTCTAAATTTTAGTACCACATTCAAAGTGGAACAGATCTGATTTTTTGGGTTTGGTTTGTTATTACAATGTGAAAACAAATTATAGCAATCCAAAATATGAAGTTGAATTGAGACCTCTGCTCCCTGGTCTAAGCTCTTATTGTTTATGAATGCAGAGGTTCAAACCTACTGAAATACTTAACTGAACCTTTTTGGGGTCAAACTGCGATTGAGAGCAGAACACTAGAAATCATACATTTTTCTCTTTTTCTGCCTGTGTCTGCGTGACTTTGTTTGTTTGTTTTTCTCCAGTACGGGTTACGTGATCGGAGGGGTGATATCCTTCACGCTGGTGGTGGCTGTGGGCGTCAGGGTCGCCTTCAGCAAGGTGGCGCGTCGACCCCGCAACAGAGATGTCAACATGCCCAGGTGAGACCGACTGAAGAGCTGTCTCATAGAGCCCGAAATAAAATGTGTTTCATTATTTTCCACTGAGAGAACTTAAAGTAAACAGTTTAAAAAAAAAACTGATGATTTGAATTTCCGTCTCGTTCTGGGCTCACTTTGCTCTTCGACACCCACCAGAGTTAAAACAGGCTGGGTGATTTGTGGTAGCAATTACTGAGGCGATGGATCAGGGAATTGTTGTTTACTATTATCACGTTTCATTTAATTAAAGTCTGCCCTAAAGGAAAGTTAACAGTGAGGAAGAAATGCCTATGAATTACTATGGGAAAAAAATGCACTGCGTTTATCAAGCTACTGACCTCCAGCAGTCGGGGGGGAAGAGGGGGTTTCTCGTTATAGTTTTCATTCAGGTTTCTGGGACTGGGTCATGTGTTGCTGCTCTCTCAATTTTACCATCAAGTATTCACTTGGGGGTCTTTAAGGTTTATTTTTGAGCTTCTTCATCAGCATCTCCAGACAGGAATACTGCTCCGTACATATAGGGTTTAAATGATTTAAGTTTATGTTTAATATCTCAACTTTTGACTTAATTTCAATATTAATGTACAAAGTGAAAGATAACTGACACTTTTACTCCCATAATTTAAATGGAAGGAAACGTTTTTTTCAAAGTGATTCAAAATGATGTTTGACATCATTAAAAAAAACAGAACAAGACATTAAAGATAAAAAATGCATTTTTTTGAATGATTCTCTCCTTTCACGTTTCTCTGCTCTGATCCACTCATCTTCCCTGCACTGACTCAGATCCCTGGTGGACATTTTGCGTCACCAATCGAGCCCCGTGCAGCAGGGAGACAGGAACAACGCCGCCGTGCTGACCGCCACCACATCCGACGGCCGCACATCCAAAAACCTGTACACCCCCGTCCTGCAGTTGAAAGACAACCGCAGTAAGTGACAGAGCGGCGCGAGTCGAAGCCAACGCGTTCGCATGCTTGCGGAGGTGAAAACATAAAGCGACAGTGTCACATTCAGGTTACACGAGCCTTCGGATCCGGCTTGCTCACTGCGTCCCGAGTGATAGGGAGGGTAATTATCACTGCTGTTCTCCTGGTTTTCAGATCTCACTTCAAACTCAGTAGCAGTAACACAATTCGCACTTGAGGTGGAAAACATTTTGCTGGGACTGAGATGCTGTCAGACGCTGCAGTTTTACAGGAAAGTAAAGGAATAAACTGGCTTTTAAGCTGAAAACACACAGATAAGGAAGTTACTAAAATATTTAACTACAAATCGTTTTTAATTATCTTCCTCTTTTACTATTATACAATATATGCAATTACGAGAACTTTGCAAAGAACCGTATACATTTCTGAGCCACATATTTCATACAGGAAACATCGACAGATTATTTGAAATATAACCATGAAAATCCTATCTAATTCACATTTTGACCTTTCATTTTGACTCATTGTCATTTTTTGTGACGATTAATGAAATGTTGAGAAAAATGCAAAGCTTATAGAATTTAATAAAGTGGGACATTGAATATTTTTGTTACGATGGGGATTAGTGGAGGTGAGAAAGCTCAAAGTTGCAGTGAAAATAAATGAATTAACCAATATTCTCCCTTTGCTTTTCATTCTCTTTCTCTTCCTCTGATTTTCTTTCATTCTCTCCACGATTTGGATTGTTCTGCAGAAAATACTGATGAGATAATTGTCAAACCTTCTGTTAGAGAAGCTCCTAAGTCATTTTGTATGTACATTTTGCTGAATTAAGCTTGGTGCAAAATTCAGACCTTAAAACAAATGAAACAGACAGAAATATAATTCCTGGAGGGAATGCTGTTTTCTCCTTCCTGTCCATTTCTCCTCTCTCTGCTGTCTCTGCCGCTGTCCCTCTCTGTCTCTTTACTGACACAAATGCTTACGCGACACACGCTCTCTGTCTCTCGAGTGGTCGTCCATCAGTTTGTTGGCTCTGCTCTCTCTGCAGCTGGGAACTTGCACCACCCTTTTAACCAGCAGGGGTCTGCCTCCAGCCCCAAACACTCTGCTACCATCGGTAAGCCACGTGGTTAGCAGCGCGAGTCCAGCGCGGGCGGCGGCGCGCTGCCGGCCGGACCCACGGCCTCCCCACCACCCTGTTCGTCTGTCTCTGTTGGCCTGCCGGATCGCGCTCTTAAAACAGCTGCGCCAGTCTCAACACTGTGTCTGTGTGTTGCTTCTCTGTGTGGAAGCTGTGTTGAAATTGGCACGTTGTTCATAAGAGCGTGAGCTGAAAGTTGTCTGGCCTGCCCTGGCTTTACTGCAAGTCTGTCTGCCCACCTCTCGTCACCCACTACCACCACAAGCCTGCTTCCAAATGTGCTTGTTCTTCTCTCTTTTCTTTTTTTTTAAATCTCTCTGTGCCACAGTGACGTGCGAGTGCGCTTACAGCTGACACCGAACATGAGAGGAGGGTTTGCTGCGAACAGAGCGCCTCTCTGTTTCTCCCAGCTTTGCACCAAGAAAACAAAAAGCAATGCTAGTCGTTTATCTTAAAAAAAATAAATAAAACTGATGTAAGTTACGTCCATGAAAGGAAATGAGCTGCTCCTGAATGCAAAGTAATGCTGATGAAGGTTCTGTAGGATGTGGTTACCATGGCGATCTGATGGTAAAGAGATCGGTGTGATTTCCACTGAACTTTTTAAGTTTTAGTGCGAGTTATTCTGAGCGTCTACACCTACATGCGTTTCCTCTGGAATGAATTACACAAGAAGGCATCTGCAGTGATTAGAGCCAGCTCTGCCTACAGATGTTACACTGATGGCGTTCATTAGTAAAAGAAAACTAAAAGTAATTGATGTGTTCGGTTACATTTAGAATCGAAGCCTGGGAACGTCTTCCATTTGTTGTGCTGGCTTTAATTTGGGTTAATGGATATCAGGAAGAGAAAAATCTTTCAAACACCTTCTGGATTTTAGCTCATTAATGTCCTCTAATGAACAGGCAGTTGTGGTTTTAGAGCTTTTAAACCTTTATTGGATCGTTTGTCCTCTTTTAGTCATGTTCCATTACATGACCTCTTCTCTCTTTGGCTTGTTTCTTTTTTTTTGATGGATTCTTCTTGTTTTTCCATTTTAACAGCCACTTTATTAGAGTCACATATTGAACTTTATCCCAATTTTCAGTCAACAAATTTAAACCGGCAAAATCAATTCTTGTTAATAAAACTAGGTAAGGTGTTATGTTTGATCATTATAATGTTTTAGAATTTTCCCCAGAATTAATGACATTTATTCCCATGATGACAAATGTAAACTTTGATGGCAATTCTAGATTTGCTTAGAAGAACTTCAATAAATAAACAATAACTTGGCTAATAAATCATAAACTAGAAGGGATTTATTTTTCAGACAACTGAAATTTAGAAAAAAAAACATTTTGGCTTACTTAAAAAGATGTGTTGTAATTGTTAAAAATGAAAATGGCTCATTTCCCATCCACAGATGTTTTTTTTTTTTTTTCTCTCACCCTACAGTGGTTAATCTAGTGGATAGGCGGCAGTGCAGGGAGGAGCTCAGTGAAGTGATTCCCTGCATCACATAAAATGAACAAATCTGAGAAGATTTCCTTAAAGATTCTCTGTACATATGCAAACACACATGAACACACACGGTCACCTTTGCATTAAGTTGTATGCTGGTACATAAACAGTGTGTTATGTTCAGTCCTTGATGCTTTCTGCTTGTTTTCTCTGTCAGCCTTCATCATGTTCACTTCCAGCTTTAAACTAAAACTATCGCAGAACTAGCATTGCTTTTTTACACAATGTATGTGCGTGTGTATGTGTGTAACAAGTACAGAGGTCGATGTGGTGTGTGTTCCCTGGGTGGCACTTAACAGAGACATCATTGGCCATTACAGCCCATTACTGTCAATGGTCAATGACCAGTATATGTCCTGCAGTTATCTTAACAAGATCGCAGCCCATAACCGTTCCCACCCTGAATGAACTCTGCTAGTGTCTGTATTGAAGACAGGAAACGGTAAATGGCCACGTTATGCAACCTTTAATTGTTGTTCTCCAGTTTTTCCCGCTCTCACTCCCAGAGGTGTAGTTTCTCTTTGTCTCTCCTCATAGATCCAACATTTCTGATCCCCGTTTGGATGATCATGACTGATCGGCATGTTTCTGATTGAAGATCTGAGCGTTTGATTCCACATGTGAGGTCCCTGCTGAGTGCACCCACATGTTGGCTCATTTACAGCTCCGTCTCTCTGCTGTTTGCAGCATATATGAATGTGTTTGTATACTTTATGACGTAACTGATATCAGTGTACATGCTGCAAAGCAGGCATCTATGCCCCCCTCTCCTCCTCCTCCATGTTGCTAACCTCACATAAGACAAGTCATTTCTGTGTTTACTGATCTATGTGCTGCTTTTGCACTTTGCATAAATGTGACTGTATGTGCACTAAGATTCCTCCTGAAGCCATCAGTGTGTTTCTGTGTATTTATATGTGGCTGATATGTTGGTGTTGCAATCTTAGATGAGCAGTACAGAGTTGTATTTATAGATGGTCGCCATGGAGCTAAGAGACACTTCCTGTGTTCACTGATAGTTACCCAGCTTGTAGATTCTTCCTTTGTTCAATCTTCCCTTTCCTTTCTACATTTACTTTTTTTGCTTCTTGTTTATATTATATTTTTTTTCCATTTTTTTTCTTTTCTCTACCTTTTAAACATGTTACATTTCCTTTCATTTCCTCTTAGAGTTCCTTTTAAAAGTCTTTACCCCTTGGTTATTTAAAAATTTAATTATGTTGCAACCAAAATCTTGAATTAATTTTATTGGGGTTTTGCAACAGACTCAAAGTAGCAACAGTGAAAAAGAGAAAAAAAAATGTTAAAAGTGTGTTTCTGTGTATCTCTGAGTCCTTTGTGACGTGTCTGTACCAGCTTTGCATGTCTTGCGATTGAAATTAAAATATTTTGGTCCGTTTTTCTTTGTAGCTCAATCTCAGTCAGATTGAATAGAGAGCATTTGTTGGCATCAATGTCATATTTAGGTCTGGACTTTGACTGGGCCATTATAACACGTTGTACATTTAGAAGCTTTGTCCTCCAGGTATTTCACGCTGCGTAGATCTGTCCCTCTCCCACATCATGATGCTGCCACCATGTTTCTGGTTGTGGAAGGTGTTTTTGTTCCACAAAAAGTTTAGAAGAGCACTTTCTTTCACATATTTACTGGCATCCATAAATGTTTTTTTCATCCTTTTTTTCTTTCTCTAAGGATGGCCATGTCTTTAGATAAAATTTCTTGATGTTTTAGGATTTTTTAATAACTTAAATGTTGAAAATCGTGTATAATTCTCCTTTTGCCTCATAGTTATGGACTACTTTGTGTTTCTGTCATGTAAAAACCCAATAAATTACAATGATGTTTCTATTTGTAACATGATAAAAGTCTAAGGGGTTTTACTCTTCCTGAACTCTCACCTCATTGTTTTCCTTCTACTCTCCTTCCATCCATTATATTTTTCATATTCATATCCAATCTATTTTCATCTCTAACTTTTGTTTCTTCCTCCTGTCCATCTCTTCCTGTCGTTCCTCAGAGCGCGGGCCTCGTTTGAACAACACCTCCCAGCTGTCGTCTGGGCCCAGCCTGATTTCAGGAAGCGGTAAAGGTTCGGGAGGGGTCGGCATCCTCACCGGGAGCATGAGACACAACAGCAGCCACCCGTCTTTCTCCCACTCCTTCCACAACCTGGCGCAGCTGCCCCCGTCCTACGAGGCGGTGATGAAACCAGAACTCAGCCGGTACAGCTCCCTGAAAAAACTGGGTGAGTTATTACTTGTTTCTCATACGAAATGCTAATTAAAAGTGCTACTTCTGGTTTGGCCATTTCACACACTTGCAGTAAGTGTTTCAGATAATCATTCTAGCATTAACATCTGATAAGGAAAAGAGGTTCTAGTTAATTCTACGCGGACAGAATTTACACAAAACATTCTTTTCCTGGTTCATAAACTTGGTGCTTTGCTGTGAACGGCATAAAATTTAATGAGCAATGCTTCAGCTGCTTTCTGTGCACCTCTCGAACTTCCCTTAAAATGTAGTTTTTTGCTCGTGTTGCACCACCTGTTGGTTAAACAGTTTGAAATGTTTATTCAGACGAAGCTCACATTATATTATGTTTCTTCATATGCATCTTGTATTGCAGACTTCTGCCCAGGTCCCTCTTGGCAATGAGATCTGGATCTCAACGGAGTTTACCTGGTTAAATAAAGGAAATAAAAAAAATAAAATAATAATAATAATAAAATCAATTTCAGCAGATTAGCCAATTAGGAATTTAAAAAATTGGGAAAATGACTATGGTTCTGTGACATAAAATGTATTTGATGTAAACAAAAACTTCTAACAAAGCTACTGTATTTATTTTCAAGATTTCTCTGAAGCAATGATGGAATTGATAAATTCATGATGCTTTATGTGATTCATCAATTGGGACAAAATGAAAACGGTTGTCTACTCTAGGGGGGATTTTTGATTCGCTAAAACCATTGATTTAAAATTTATGAAAAATAAAAATAAAACAAGTGGCTGTTATTTGTGGTCACCAGAGTATATAAGTGTGTTTGTTTTTTGTTTTTTTGAAGGAAAAATGCCTTCCTCCTTTTCTTTCCCATCATCATTATTCACTACGCTGCAAGATTAGTGACAAAAAGTGCAAAGTCGTAGAATCTCCTCCTGGATTTCAGCAAAAATGTACACGAAGGTTGTTCTCTGAGATTTTTGAGACATGCAGAGGATTTGAATGTGGGAGCACAAATGTCAGAATCAGTCAAACCGAGCGTAATGCTGAGTTTAACCTGTCAGAACAAGTGGAAAAGAGCAACGTGGGCGCTTTTGCTTCGTTTTACTCGTTTTTGCTTGCTGGTATAATGCTCTTCATTATTTGCCAGTGTTGGGAGTACATCCCAGCGTACTATAAATGTACTGATTTATGGATGCAAAACAGGTTATATAAAAGTCCCATTTACTGTAGGTCAGCAGCTTTGTTGATCATCCTGCTATGAAATCTGCTGCATTCTTTGTGGGTCATTCCAGGAAGACTTATGTCAAGAAATGACAGAAAGCTTGATTGAAAGTGGTAAAGAAAAGCTGCAGTATAAATCAAACAGGAAATGGCACAGATGAGAAGGACGGAAGTGAAAAGGATGAACGAGTGAATTTAGAGAGAAGGGCTGATCAGAAGACGGAGAGCAGAGGGGAATTTTAAAGGCACTGACAGGGTGAGTGACGATACGGCATGAAGGTAGAAGATAAAGGAAGATGCTGATGCAGAGGTCATTCGGGGGAAAAGAAGGGAAGTGGAAGAAGGCACTTGTGGAAAGAGATGGGGGAGGGGGCATCTGCAGAGGTCTGGCTGCTTTCGATGAGGAGGAAACGATTTTCGAGGCAGTTGCTTCCTTTACTTCACTCACTCTGTGATGGCCGAGGACTGCAGGGGGAGGGGAGTCGCCCTGCAGGCCTGTGACGGATGGTTACTTCATGAGGGACGACCCTTATGAGTCTGTGTTCAACGAGCATGGCGCTACATGGATGGAATGATGTGAAGGCGTAATCGAGAGGAGGCTCTTTATTATTTCGATTCAGTCAAAAGGGGAAACGCTCCATAAATACAGAAGGGGAAAAAAGGTCTCTTCGTATTCAACAACCGATGATCTGACTTCTGGCAAAAATAAGACTCCAGTCAGTGATTCGCATCTTAGTTTTTTTCTTCTTTTTTCCTCTCCACCAATCCTCTCCCATTTTTAGTTTAATAGTTATACGGCTTATGCCGACCTGTAGGCAGTTTCAGTGTAGTTCAGATTTGTTTACAATTAAAAATAATGTTTCAAATATATAGCATATTTATACATACAAAACAGAGGTTTGTGTGGAGTAGTTATTAGTAGTCAGCATCTTTCCTGTAATTAACCGTTAGATAGGCTCCATATTTTCCCTTTGGCAACTGCAGATAGTTGAAAAAAAAATTAACAGCATGTTAAATGTTGCCACAAAGCTTAATGGAGGGAGGATCAAATTGTGGACACATTTAAATTTAAATGTACCTGTATGCTTTATATAAATATTATTCGTCTACCTGGTGGGTAAAAGCTGTAATTTCAGAGTTTAGTCATGGAACTGGCTTCACCTAAAACAAAACTGTACTTATCCAAAACAGTGTTGTTCTTAGAAGTGAATTTTTATAAACAAATTACTAAAAATGCACTGCATGCAGAGCTCAGGGACTGTAAATCACACAAAATTGCTAAATTATACCAGGCAGGGTTCTGAGAGGTATTTTTGTTGTTTGAACTCCATGTAATGAGTCTATAACAGCTCTGCTTCATAGCTACAGTCACACAGTGGTTAATATGTGTGTACATTTAGATTTTATGAGCACATAGGAACAAACAATGAAGATATTTGTTGCAAAAAAATCTGATTATATTCCCTGATTGTGTGATTTTAAGTTATAAACTCTTTAAAGGATTAGTTAAGAATTTGTCAGATTTTGCACTGGGCATATTATCCACTTCTGTTTACATCATTTCTTTCAACAGGTGAATCTTGGGGGAGAAACAGGTTTTATCTTTCAAAATCTTCATAAAGTGTCAGTGTGCTGTTGTGCCTGCTTAGTTCTGTTGGACATGAGGTATGAAATTTGAGCAATTTTGAGTTTTACTCCCTGCATGATTATTTTCCATTTATTAGGGCCAAACATGGACATCAAAATCCAGTTTTAGACATCTGGAGATAAAAAAAAACAAAAAAACATTTATATATTCACCCAAATGTGAAAATGTAGCTGTCCTATCAGTCCCATAAAGCTAAATGTTTTGAAAATAATATATTATTAAATATTTTTAATCTTTAATTAGTGCTTGAGAAGTGTTTTTATGCTACTATAGATCAAGATGGATTTCATCTATTATAATAGATGAGAATCATATCCCCTACTCCAACATCCTTCTGCTCATCTTTCTAAGCTTATGAATAGACAGAGATGTAAAATGGAGAGATAAAAATAAATGAGGTGCACTAGCAGTGCTAGCTAACAACTGATTGTGTCATCCAAGACATGCTACTGTGAAATATTTGAAGATACTTATTATTATTACAGTGTTTGATTTATTGTGAGTGAATTGCGAGTAAAGATCTCATGAACTGACTGATCTATATTGTTAGCTGGCATAGCACCTCTTCAGACAGTGTGAGTCATTGTCACATTGAATTAAAGCGCTGCTTTTGGTTTTCTGCAAAACAACCTCCATATTTTCATCAAACAGTTTTTGTGGAACAATTTTTTTTCAGGATGGGAGTGAAATGTCAGAATGACACAGAGAGTGGATGAAAAACGGCCTCTCAGCTACTGCTGAATGAAACCTGCTGCTTTTGATGTGCTTCCCTGCAGAAATGACATCGATAAAGGCTTCTTTGTCCACGGCCAGGCATAAAAAAAAACCCTCGAGATAATTTGGCCTTAAACAGAGCGAGCAAAGAGAGAAGAGGGAGGGCAGGGTGAGGACATGAGATCATCAGGGAGAATAGAAAAAAGGGAAATGAGGCAAAAGAAAGGTAGACAGAAAACCTCCACATTTGGCGGAAATTAAGGGGAGATGGAGGCAGAGGAACAAATAGAAAGAAAGGAAGAGACCTGAGAAGGTGAGAGAAAAAAAGACAAGAGGAGAGGAAGAGGTAGAGAGCTAGCTGGTTAAAGGTCAGGTTTTAAATTGGCTCTTGTAGAGCTGCTTCCATGGAAATACTTTGAAGATTAAAGCGGACTCGGTGTATGGAGCAGAAAGCACAGAAACACTGTTATTTCTCTATTAATGAACACTTTCGTCTCTGTTGACTTTGTTTCTCTATCCTTTCTCATTCAGCCTCTGTTACTTTGTGTTTTTTTTCCACTGTCCTTTCTCATGTTTTATTCTCTTATGCCTCATTCTAATTTATTTTATCTACGTTTCATCTCCTCGTTTGCTGCCCATACTCCTCTCTCAAAGAATTTCACCTCCCCTCTGTTGCAACACTCCATGCATTTCTTTTCCCATTGTTTTTACATCATATTCTTTGTTCTGAACATTTGCCACTTTTGTCTCTTATTTCTTTTTTTTTTGCTTTTTTTTCCCCCTGCAATTCCTTTTTCAACTTTCTGTTTTTTCTGTCTTGTCAGTGTCACTGGAGACCAAAATGGTTGTAAAGGGAAGATCCCTTTAGTTATTTTCCATGGTGTTAAGTTTTTGTCACTTTTGCATATTTCAGACCATCAAGACACATTAGAAGATTTGAGGATAAAGTCTAACTTTATGCTTAAGGCAAAGCTAAAGGATTTCAATCATGTTTTTTTGTGGATGTGATGTTTAAATTGAGATGCATCCGAATGCTCACCTTTAGGAAAGTTTTACTTTTGTCCTGCCAGTCGATGGAATACTTTCCTGAAAGTCTCAAGATGTTTTTCCAGGCTACTGACTTCAACCTAGGGGGGCGATAACCTTTCAAATTTTTATTTCCAGTTTCTTTAGATTGGGACACAATGTGTTACTTTTTGAGAAGTTTTAGTTGGCTTCATGTTGCCAGATGTTTCTACGGATCAGGAACCAGTCAGGCCTAGATCTGGCTAGTGAAACTCAACCACATTTAATTCATGATTTAACGAGAGGATAAGTATGTCATGTTGGTTATTTTGGTTTAGATTGCTTGTTTTTCCTTTAAAAATTGTATCCTGTTAATAAAACCACACTTTGAATTTACTCAGGTTGATTTTTGTTATGAAAATGTGTTTAGTGATTTCAAAACAAGTAACAAAACATCAAAAACTTTAGAAATCTTTTAACATCAGTGTTGTTTTTAATCAGATCAACTTGCTTGTTAAACCTTTTCCAGGCTTTAAATTGGAAAAGTTGCACAGATGCCATAGATGCCAAGCCTAAACCTTTAAAATAACAGGCAGCTGTAAAAAAAAACAAAACAAAACAAAAAAAAAACTACAACGCATTTAGATGCTGGGCTGTTAATGTTTACTTAACATCATTAATAAAACGAGTCACTCGGTTTAAAGATAATCAACTGATGTCACCAACTTATCTATCATTGGAGAGAATGGTTTGTTTACGTTTAACAGATTCTGTTTCTTTCCCTTTTTTATGCAACAGAGAAAGAACTTGATGAATACTCGGGTTATTACACCTCCAAACGTCGCTCCAACAACGCTCCGCCCTCCTTCCACTCCTCGCAGCACCACCTGCCCTGGGGGGGCGACTACACACTGGGCTCCAGGGGCACCCTGCCCCTCCATGGGTCCCGTCCACACCTCCACATCCCCTCCTCCACCCCGAACCCGTACCCGCTTCCCTCCCAGACGCCCCACACCAGCTCCACCTTCGACAGGCCGCCTCGCCGCGTCCGCTCCCAGGACCAGCTGCTGGCCTTCGGGGAGGGAAACACCCTGTCCCGCCTGAACAAGAACCAGCAGCACCAGTACTACAAAGCCATGATGAGTACCAGCAGGAGCTCCACGTCACAGATGCTCCGCAGGTGAGCTTAGAGCCAGGAGACGGGAGATGATCGGTTCTGACAACCTGGAGAGAGAAAAGAGATCAGAGAAGATGGAAATGAAAACGGATCATAATGAGATGTGATCCAGAAAGGATGGAGAAAGGGAAGCAAAGGGAAGCAGACTGTAAGAAATATCATTTCATTAAAGTTTCAAAAGTCTGACAAGGTGAAGATGCACACCGGTGGACTTCCAAGACGGAGCATTTCTGGCCTGTCAGTTAAGATGATGAAATGAACAAATCTGTTTGAGGAAAAAAGAATTAAGATGAAATAATCTGGTTGCATAAGTGTGTTTACTCCTAAATCAATGCTTTCATAAAGAGCGTTTTAAAATGTAGTATTTTCTTTGTTTCTATACGACACTAGCCAGAGAAGTAAAATGCTGAAAGAAAAAATATGGAATAGAAATTATGTCTTATTCATCATCAGTTAGCCGTCTGATAACCGATATTAACCAATATTAAATATATAAAGGACAGGGTTGGAACTTTATGATGTTAATGCTGATTAATTTATTACATGTATTTTAACATGTACATTTTTACACAACAAACTCAATAATCCCGTTTTTGGGCCTATAAGATCTGATGCTTTTCATTTAATAAAAACATCCATGTGACCAAAAAAAAACCGATTCACTCTTCAAATTTCTAATTTCTTTCCTACGTGGAAAGAAATTAGAAAGACGTGGCACCGTACGTGTCCTGTCCGTGTTTACAGTCAAATTAAACGGCTTTCTGCTTTCAGGTCTCATGAGCGTCTCCTCGTCTCTCCGGACCGTCTGGAAGATCGCCTGATGACGATGGGTCTGCCGATGGGAACGATGGAGAGAGGTGGGGGGAGCGGGATGGTTCCCACCATGGGCCGACTGAGCCACCACCAAAAGGCCCAGTCGCAGCAGAACATCTGTGCCACGCCGTCCATGGACCGCCACCACATGATCAAGATGAACTCCCACCCGACATCAGGCCACGACCACGAGCGCGGCTCCACAGCTGTGCCCGTGATGGGGATGCACGGCGGCTGGGACTCCCACGGGGGCCACAGCGGAGGAGGAGCAGGGATAATCGGGGGCCAGCCCAGCGCGCGGCGCATGGCTTTCGCCAACAAAAGGCAGAACACCATCGAACAGCTGCACTTCATCCCCGGAGGCGGAGGAGGGCAGGGACTGCGGACTGGAAGTAAGAACGAGGTGACGGTGTGAGAGGAGGAGAAGGAGAGGAGGAGGACAGGTGAAGGATGAGGAGAGGAAACCAAGAATAACGAAGAGAGATGAAGAAGAAACAGAAATGAGTTTCACCCCAGCTGGCTGCTCAACCTTTAAAAAAAATTCTCCCCAAAAAAACAATGGTTGATGACATCACTCATGTTAGTAAAGCCAACCGATATTCCTCTTGTCACTTTATGTTTCGAAAAAGAGAATATTCAGCCATTCTTTGCAAAAGGAAGGAAAAAAAATCCTCATAAAAAGAGCAAAAAAAAATGCAGCTCAGAGGCTGCTGGGTATTCGCTGTGACTTTTATTGAAGGATATCCGCCGAGTTGTTGAGTCGTCCTTGAGTTTTATTGCTCTGTCCTCTGAGTCTTCGAGTGCTCTGACAGAAATTCATCTGTCGTTGAATCCACTGTGGATGGTGAAGAGCACTGAGCCTGGAGAGAGACAGGTTTGCTTGTTGTTGTATTTATAACAATATTTAGAACCAAACAAGTTACTTTTGTATGAAAATAACTCGATATTGATTACATTAACATGACTGAGCCCTGTAGGATTTTGTGTATACTTAGTTGAACACGTATTTATCCTCAAAACCAGCCGATTTGTAACTTAAAGGCTGGATTAGACGATCATCGCTTTCTGTAGTTGTGATTGGACTATTAATGTAAAACTGCTGAATCACTCGAGCCAAGTGCAGTTAACTGTCATCTGATGACTCTACAGCTTCAATAATTCAAGATTAGAAATTTAGGAATAAAAACAACACTGCTGCCACAAAGGCCCAGTCACACCAGCACTTCACAACAAAACAAAAGAATCAAGTCAAAAACAAAAATACCAGTTGGCTGACAAATTTTAATAAGTTTTTCTTCCATGTTTATTTTATGTTAGTTCAATTTTCTTCTCGTTTCCAGTAAATCTCAGTCACATGATTAAGATGCACAGACAATGCTTTGACCAGCTAGTGCCACTTCCAGTTCTTGTTTCATCCTGACCTGACAGTTTTCATGTTGAATTTCAGGACTTTAACACATTTCAGATAATTTTATGTCGACTTTTTATTTATTCATTTAACAATTACATGTAACAAACACTGATCATAAATAGAAAACATGTTACAGGCAGTAGTTTCTAATCCAACTGAGAAAGATGATCCTCAATTATACTTATCAAATCTTTCCCTAAATGTTAGCTAACGTTTGCATGTTGTATGTTGATGCATTCATGAGCCCAATTTCATAATTTTGCTGTATTTAATTGAACAGCATAAAAACATGTATTTTTAACTTTGATCACTGCTGAATTGACTCGTGACCAAGCCAAACTAGACAGGCTTGTATAATCTGAGAATATCTTTGTCTCTAATCTGTACCCCTGCTTTGAACTCATGTAATTAAAACTATGCATAAAACAACTGTTATTTGCATGTTGATAATTTATGGTGATACATAGCCCAAATTGTACTAAAAGACTCATGTATAATTAATTTTTTTGCACATTTTCAGATTATCAACAATTAATTACAAGATATTTCTATTGATTTTGATTCTGATCACCATTTAAGCCATTTGACTATGAAATATTTTTTTATTGTGATCCCTGATCAAATAAGAATTGCTGTGAGAAACCTCTGGTTGCTATTCAGAATATCATATAAAAACCCATTTTGTCTTTTAGACTATAAGTAAATTATAGAAAATTACTTTAAATCACGACTGGTCAAAGCAGGTATGCATCAACCCCAAAAAGAAGTTTAAATTCACACAAAAAATAAAAAAAATATATATATATTTGTTGGACATGTTTTCTTCTAATTGTGAAAAGTCAGGTGTAAAGTGAGCTGTAAAAGTTACATAAGTGTAAAATGACCAGTATCCATCTCGTATTGTTCTTCCTTTTGCATTATGTTTTTTAAAATGTAAACAATACTGGCACCTATTGGTCCATTGTGGAATTTTTTTTTTTTTTTTTTTTTTTTTTTTTTGATGAGGTAAATTTCTTATTTGGACTGAGATTTTTATTTTTTTAAAGCTCTTTAAAAACAGTTCTCCCCCCACCCCCTAACAAATCAAGTGAAATACTTGTAGCAGCATAGTTGGAGCCTGAAATTATTACAGGTACTTAAACAAATTCAGTGACGCCTGTGTGACTGGGCCCTAAAATTACCATTCAGTATGTAACCATGTTTTAAGCTAACTTAAAGCCTTGTACAGTGGATTCTAGTGAGTGTACGACATTTATGAAACGTAATAGTGAGAATGTTTTGAATTAGACCTCTCATTAAAAGGATCCGATCTGTGAATAAACATCCCCCGGCCATGTTTCAAACTTTTCACAAGTAACTTGTAAAGTCGAGGGCTTCTTTTTGCAGCGCACTGGCATAGAACAGACCCTCCCGTTCGTCCGAGACGCCACACGCTTCCTGCAAGTTCAGCTGCTCACCTCGCACCAAGGGAAGGAAGGCAGACGGGTTCGAGGCGGGGGAACAATGGACACTTCACACTAAGGGCTAAACTGAATTTATCTTTGTGTGTCTGTGCTCTAAACAGTGTCTGCTTCTCATTTTCATCTCTTGTATCTGTCGGGAGGCATGCTCGTGCTTATTTTCACAGATTCCTTCATGTGTAGAGAGAAAAGAAACATGCAGGGGATTTCTGCAAAAGAATCTTTGTGTAAAAATTTAATTTTGTTGAATATTGCTGTGGGGGAGGAAGCTTTCCATAAAGATGTCATATTTTTGGATTTTTGTTTGTTTCTCTGCCGATAAGATGGACCTTCTGGCCACACTGGCTGGGTTTCTTTTTCATAGTGAAGTTATACTTTGATAAAGACTGAAACCACTGATTGAGTGATGCTTCCTGCCAGCCATTTGTAGTTTTATATGTTATGTACTCATGTGTTAACGGTTTGATTTAAAAAAAAAAAAAAAGAAAAACCCGACCTCCCTAAATAAGAAAGTGAGCACTCTTATCATGATCTCTTCTTTTAAACATGTATTTATTTTTTTAATCTCTGTGAATTTTAATGTATATGCCTGAAATTTCAATTTTACAACTTTCTAGTGGAGTTGGAAAAAAATAAAAACAAAAGCAAAACCGTTGTAATCACAGGAACAAAAAAGAGCCGATGCAATCATGGAGAAAAGACGGACCGCATGATGATGTCAAAAGCCAGTTTTGGAGATGTCATACTGCTGACTTATGATGTCATGGCGTGTATGTATCTAATTGTACATGCATCTGTTTCAAATTTACGTACCCGTGTGTTAGAATCCCTGTCATTTTTGTTATCGGAATGCTGACACTCGTTTTGACTAAAATCGATCACGAAGATGATACTTCGATCCAAAATACAATTTGTTGTTCATATCAGCCTGTTTGTGCTTTTTTGGTCTTCCATTTTTGTCCCTTTTAATGTCACGTTTTTTTTTTTTTTAAGAGGGACATTGATCACTCCCACCCCTTCAATTTGAGCTGTGTTCACCAAAGCAAGGACTTTTTAAACATTTCAAAATGTACATTTTTAAAGACTTATATGGTGATAAGTTATAGCAGTTATAGGGACCTGTAATAGCTGAGTGCATTGATTTATCGCATGGTTCATCAGTTTGTGTCGCTGATGTTTGACAGATTAGGTTTTTAATGCAGCTTCTTCCTACGTGCTCATTTTTACAGAATTTTAAGGGCATAGAAGTTTGAAAAAAAAGTTGCAGTTCTTGCAGGGGGATCAAACCTAATTTAAAAGTTTTTAAGCAACAACTGCTGTCACTGAAAATAATATGTTGTGGCTTGCCTTAGTTGCTTTTAAAGAACCGAGGGTAAAAACCAATGAGAAAATGTTGAAATATGAATTCAATCTTTTGATGTCTCACTCATTTCTCCTCATAATTTCAGAGGTTGTTTACTGTTGTATTCCATGTTGAGTTAACGGTTCCCCTGATGAAGCTGTGTGCCTGTATTTATGTGTGAGTGTGTTAACCACATGGGTGGGGGGGAGGCATGGGCATATTTGTATTCTCATAGCTACTCTGCATACCTCAAACTGTATGATAAATTATTTATAACACTCCCTTATATGTCTATTTCCAAGAATATCCCAACAACGGTCTCACAGATGTGCAACCCTTTTGTTATTGGTGATCAATTCTTGCATTTGTAGAAATCATACTGTTTAAATAATAATAAAAAATATCCAACTGAATCTAATTTGTCTGTAATGATTCAAAGTATGTCTTACATTAGGAAAAAAAAATGTTTTACAGTTTTACAGCTGGGGAATGTAGGAAAGAGGAAGAATATTACACACTCAAAAAAAATAAATAAATAAAAGGTAACTAAGGCAAAGGTGTTTAAATGAAAATAAATTGAGAAATTGTGATTTTTATTTACTTTGGTTTAAAGCTCCATTTAAATTTGTTACTTTGAAAAAAGGCTTGCTCAACTAAGATAAAAAAAAAATTAAAGATTGACTTGCATATTTCTTTCAGAATTAAACAAAGTTGTTGCTCAACATGAAAAATTGAAAATTATGTTGGAATAGTAAGCTTCTTTCTTACTGCTGTTTCCCATCTTAACAGGGCTGAATTATATTGCATATTTAAAATATATATTTTTTTATTTCCTGCAAAATCCATATTGGATCCTGAACTCAGGACTGCTATGCAACCTCCAACTTTCATAGTCAGAATATCAGCATTTCTGTTGTATTCCTGAGTGAAAGAGTGGAAATCCTACATAGAAAGAGATCCAAGCTCTGACTTCCAGCAGAAATCTAACGCACTTCATACTGGGTTGCTCAATTCAGTTGAAGTTCTGTTTATTAATTAGCATAAAACATTAAAAAAAAATCAATGCACTTTATAGCAAACAAGTTAATTTATACACAGAAAATATGTTTCGAGTTAGATTCTGACTTTGTAGGCACTCTCTTTTTCTAAATGGGAAAGTAAAATTTTTTACAACAAAATAATCAAAGTGTTCGACTTTGATATTTTTTTCCTGACATTTAGAAAATCCCCACTTCTGAGAAAAAAAAAAATCGAAGGCACATTATAATAACAGCGGTGTAAAAATTCTCACATTTTTTAAATGTTCATTCAACAAGTTATTTTTCAATTAGAGGACACCTCATTGAAAAAGACACCAACCACACAAACCTGTTTGACACACACCAAACTATGCTCTTTGGCATGCGCCGTGATGGCATCTTCAATAGACTAATTAACATTTTACACTCTTGGTGTGAAAACACACACACACACACACACACACACACACACACACACACACACACACACACAGGAGCTTGATGACACAAAGTGTCAGAATGCACGCAATTATATTTTTTATTTTTATTGCATGATGCATGAACCCGCACAGCCTCTCTCTCACACAGAGCTTCATTAATTCATGAGCATCATGCTGGATCGGATCTGATAGCTGTGAGTACTCCAGCCGGACTTTCGCTTGGCTCTACCCGGAACCATTATGCAGACAGGAAACTACCATTTTACCGCTAGCAGCAGCAGCATCGGGGGAACCGTCGTCTACGGAGGGGGACACCTAAAGCAGCTGAGGCGGGGAGGGAAGCTGGAAGCCAGGGAGAAAAGCAGGAAAACCACAACCGAGACTAAATAAAGAGGACGAGTTGGTGATGAGCGCCAGTGAGCCAGTCGAGCTGTAGGACTTTGGACTCAAACAATGGCCAAAACGGGAGCAGGCCAGCGATTTTGTTAGCGAGAGAAAAGAAGCAGCAGCAGCAGCCCTCCTGGGCCGATGGAGATCCCGGGCCTTTCACGGTGCTTTTCCACGGATGGAGAAAAAGGCCCCAGTGACGAGCATTAGGGACCCCGCTTTCAGAGCGCACGTCCTCCCCCATGCCCTCTCACTTCTACCGCCGTGTTTCCCAGCGGCGTTTTCCAACCAGGATTCGTATTTTGGAAGGTAAAAACATAAACAAAAGCAGCTTCAAGCAGGACTGACATTAGCATAGAGAAGCTAACGGCTCTGCTAAGTTGGTAGCATGTAGCTTCTGACTATAGAACGTTTTCTTGCTCTGAATTGTTTTTGCTTCTTTGCTTTACATAGCGCTTAAATATAATTCAAAACAAAACAGAGTTGAGTGTTGCATTTCATAGAAAGGCACTACATTTTGATTTTATGTCTTTTTCGTGGTAGAGTAGCGTTTGTTACAGTCAACGTTAGCTAGCCGAGGTTATTGACAGATGCTAGCAGGGTTTGTTGACTTATTTGTCCTACCTAACGCCTGATATGCTTATTTTTTTAAGGTTGTCGAGCTGTGATATCCCGTTTGGACAGAGTGGGATGTGTTCTTTTTCTCCCACTCTCTTCTTAACACCCCGCTGGAGTTTCGGATCTGTGGATTAGCCGGTGAGATGCACACAACACACATGTAAACAGTCCCATTGCTGCAGATCTAGAGAGAAATTGTTGCATCTGTTATCAGTGTATCATTCACTGAAAAATTTGAGGCTTAATGTGTGAATGGACAGCAAATTCAGCACGTAAATCAATGCATGTTGCAAGTATCTGAACAGTTGTTGCATGTTTGTTTTGAAAAGAGTGGCGCTTAATCTGCAGCTCAGACAAGATGAAAACACCACAGAGAATGAGAGGCGGTGAAGGGAGTCTGGAATCTCTGACAAGACCCTAATTTCCTCTCTTAACACCCATCAGGTTCAGTTGTGCTTGCCTTTTTTGTTTTATCTTGCAGTGACATGAGTATAATTTGTTTTGACAAGAAATTAAATGAGTCATCTTTCTTTAGGTGATTCATATCCACTAAAATCTGTAGACAAAGTGAAACAATGTGGTCAGTCATTGTTGGCACAGTTTGAGTGATGCTATGAAACTGCATTGACTCTGCAGGTATGAATCAAAAGGTTTACTTGATAACATTTTGGGAAATTTTTGTTTTACATTAATGCATGAGCTGTTACTGTTACATGAAGATCACTGAGTCATATTCAACATACTACCATGTTAAACTGGAATCCAGTTTTTAAACTAACTACAAAATTAGCCACTTTTCTAGCTGCATCAAATGTTTTTGTATCTCAGCAAATGTTTTATCTTCTCTTTCTTCTGTTCTGAACTTCAGGGAGACCACTTGATTACACAAATTACATTATTAATCTCAATTTCCCTCAGGCATTTTTCATTGTTCACAGTTTTTAATTGTTTTTGGTGAGCACTGTTTACAGTCTAGAGTGGGCGCCTTCTGATTGGATTTCATAAGCAGCACTGCATATTGGAGATGTACATCCTGTCTTACTGTGGCCTCAGCTATACAGCTGACATTTGCAATTCATTGGTATTGTATAAAAATATGTTTTTGTGTAAAAAGCCTAATGTGATAATTAACATGACTCCATTAGCTTCTGTTGGATCAGCATGCTCTGCCTCATCTAGACCATTATTATCCATCTATCATCTGAAAACAGACCAGAACCAGACTGATTGTTTTTGTGTTTATATTTGAATTATGTTCTGTCGTCATATGTCCAATGACCTTTTAGCTTTAGCTGGACTTCTTATATTAAGTTGACCACACTAATTACATATGTAGGTAAAAAAATTTATTGAATGTATTTTAAACATTTTTTTTTTGTGGTTTTAGGATCTTAAAATCAGACAAAAAATCCTAATATCGGGATTTCACTTGCAGCTCAGTAAAATACAAGGATTAGCTCAGATTCCTCGATAGTAGCAGCATTTGCTCCATATTTTGTGACCCATCGTTTCTCTACTCCTACAGTTATTACTGCCCCCGTTTAATTTCAGATTTGTATGATTCCTCTTTTATGTTCCCGGTGGATTCTGGCTGCAGTTTTTTGTTTTTGCTGTTTCAGCACAGAGTTCATGCTGGATTGTCACAAAATTCTTCAGAGTAACTGTGCTGTGTGAGCCTCTGCTGTCATTCTGCCAAGCTTCAAAGCGAACACAGATGTGACAGCACGCAGAAGACTGTTTGGCCTCTGTGCTTTTTGTCTCAAGGGAGACGTTTCCATGCCGAGTGCTTTGCAGAAAGCTAGAGAAAGGTCAGAAATAAGCGCTGATTTAACCCTCACATGATGGATGGTTTTTTTGTGTGCATCTAGAGGAAAAGTCACGACTAATAGGCACGAGCAGATGACTTAAAAGATTTACATCAAAGACACTGCTGTGGTGGAAGAAGAAGAAGAAGAAGAAGGGGTATGATGGTGTGACGGTTACAATGAAAATAATAACTTTTTCTAACTTTCAGCCAGCTGTTATTTGAGAGTAATGTATTGCATTACAGTTATCACCATATCAAAGACACACAAAAATATTTTTAGCAAAGGATTCGGTCAACATTTGGTTACTGGGTGACTGTATATTGCTAGTGGCTCTTGGAGATAATTGCCATTCACTCTGTAAGTCATTTAAATGAGACTCAAACGTTTGGTTTTGATAGTTTAATTCATTTCTAGTTAGTTGGCAGAGAGATGCCATATCTAAAAAAAAAAACACTGGAGGTTTCATGTAATTTGTATCAAAAACATATCAAAGTGTGCATAAAATATTGGGCTGTTTATAAACATCAACACAGTGTCTGAATTTTTAGGGCGTCATTTTAACAGCAAAGTGTCTGATTAGAAACACAATTAGTTTTTTTTTTTTTGTCTATGATAAATCAGGGAATTTTGATTTATTATGAAATTAAACATTAATGATGTTTAAACCTCCCCCCCCAAAAAAAACTGAAGGTGTTGTCAGAATAGTTTTCTCTGTTGTTCCACAATAGCATCAATAAAAATAAATAAAAAAATATTAAATGCAGTTTTAGTGATAGTAATCTCTTTTCTTTAAGGTGTCCTAAAGAAGCCCATTTAAAAGTGGAAACACTTTTTTTATTCTCACAAAATTTCCACAAAATATTGTAATAATATAGAAAGTTCATATCACCCATCCCTTTTGTTGGGTCAAATTTCTTGCTTGTATATTTGTCATCAAGCCATGTCACAGTAGCAAAGAAAAAAAGTAGCATAGAAACTATGCCTTAAATTTAACTTTGATTAGAAAACACATAAAAATAAATGGACATGTGAACATGCTTTTTCAGGAATATTTTGTAAAATATCTTGCCTACTTGTGTAAAATCTAATCCATCTTGAAATATTTAAAGCTTTTAGATGTATAATGTGGTTTCACGAAGAC